GCAGAAACTGAAGCGCCAGCAACAACAACAACAGCAGCAACAGCAGCAACAATGATGTAAAAAGAAAATAAAAATAACTGGAAACTTGAGCAAAACTCAACTTGAAAAACTGGCGCAACTTTTTTGGGCAGCAGCAGGCTGAGAGTGGGCACTTGTTACGAAATCTTTTGTGTCATGTTGCTTTAATTGAACGAGAGATGAGGCACTCACTCACACACACACACACACACACACACATACACACGCACCGAGGCAAAAGTTTTGAAAGGGTCTTAACTGAATGAGACACCCAACGAGGGCAGCGGGACGAGGCGGGCCGCTAGTGCGGGCGCAGCGCACAGCGAGGAGACAGGCACACGGACAAGGGACACGGAACATGGGGAACGGGGAACGGGGAATGGGGATCGGGGAACGGGACATGGGACACGGCGCACAACTCTTTTGTCTATGCATCAAATATTTATAGAATTGTTCAATTATTAAAACAAATATGAATAGCAACTAAAAAGCATGGGAGGCAGCCATTGCTGCTTTGTATAGCGCTTTCTCTCTCTCCCCACCATCTCTCTCCTCTCTCTCTCTCTCTCTCTCGTTCGCTCGTTCTCGTTTGCGCATTGCCTCGGCACACAGAGCCGCTGCTGCTGCTCGCTTGCTCCAACTAACACTCGCTCTCACTCTCACTCATTCTCTCTCTCCTTCCGTTTCTCTCGCGCCTGCTTGCTCGCTCACTGCAGCGCTTTGGCTCTCAGTCTTGTGTTTCACCCATACTTTTGACCATTTGTTCTGTGTGTGTGTGTTTTTTGTTGCTTTGTTAAGCATTTAAACTGATTACAGCTGAAAAGTATGCAACAACAAAACGCCAATAGCCTGGCCGCCATGTCCCTCCCGTCCGGCTCTGGGTGGGGCACTCATATTTATTTAGCTTTTTTTTTGAATGCCGAAAACTAGCAAGCGCTATGTATGCGTGCGCTCTGTATGCATGTATGTATGTATGTATGTGTGTGTGTGTGTGCGTGTATAGCAGCACACCACGCCCCCTCAAGCGACGCTTAGAAATGGACATAAAACGTGGACACACGTACAGAGGCTATAAATACATAGATATACACACATACAGGGTGTCAGAGTGTGCGTGTGTGTGTGTCTGTGGGTGTGTGTGTGCGCTGTGCCAATTATGTAAAACTCTAAAATGATAAGCAGGCGCATGGGGGAGGCCTACGAAAAACAATAAGACAGCAGCCGACGCCGCAGCGCAGCTCCGTTAGCCAGCCTCAGTATATAAGAGATGTTGGTGGAGACAGAGTGAGAGCGATAGAAAGAGAGAGAGAGAGAGAGAGAGTGTGAGAGCACAAGAGAGTAGCAGTATTTAAGTAGAGCCAGACTGGCATGCCATAAAATAAAAAACAAACTACACGATTTAGCCACTGTCTGTGCTGCCTGCTGCCTGCTGCCTGCTGCTTGCTGCCTGAGCAAACACAATGGCAAACTCTTCAATTATAAACCAATCCCAAAATTAGTCTGACTGTTATTGGTTTGCACCCTTGGCGCTCTCGCTGGCTGGCTGGCTGGGTAGCGCGCGCTCGCTCGCACTCGCTGGCTGAGCCGGCTGCGCTGCTACGGCTGCTATTGCTATCTCTGTTGTGGCACTGCGCAACCACCCTGCGCCGAGAGAGCATGTGAGCTGTGTATTGACCTATGGGCTGGAGAGTTTGGAATGGGCGGAGGGGGGGATGGTAGCTGCTGCTGCTGCCACTGCTACTGCGGCTGTGACAGCTGCTGCGACGGCGACTACTGCTGCTGCTGCTGCTGCTGCTGCATTGTGGTTGGCTGAGGCTTATGCAAAATTTATTTGGGCAGTGCCCACGAAAACAGCCGATGCGACGGCGCTGCCGTTCGCTGTCGACGTTGACGGCGCTGCTGCCAGCTGGCAGCTGGCAGTGGCCAGTGTGTTGCCTCATTTCATTAAGCGCATAATTTGTAATTAATAAAATTATGCCACACAAAATATATGCGTCGAGCCACGCTCGAGCGCTAGATGGCGCTGCCGTCATTTGAGCAGCTGGACAGCTGAGCAAGGCGCCAATGATGGGCAACCAAATGACAATAGCTGCGTGGGCCAGAGCGAGACGGCTGACCGGTGTGGGTGTGGCGTTTGGTTTAGCTCTATGTATGTGCACATATATGTATCAGCTTCTGCTGCACTGCTCGCTAGCTGTATGTGTGTCTGTGTGTGTGTGTGTGCTGCAAATGCATAATCAAAAGACAAAACAAATGCAGTTTTGGCAATGGCAAAAAAAGGAGAACAACAACAAAGTTGCTGCAATTGAATGGCCTAAGCTCAAGCACACACAGTCACACACACACACACACACACACACAGACAGAAATATTAAATCACGCATGCAGCAGCTGCTCTCCCACTCGCACTCACGCGTGCCTCTGCTGCTGTTTCGTTCGGTCGTTTCGTTCAGTGCGCCGCCATTTTTCTTTTGTCTTGTGCTGTGCAGTTTTGTCGTTCTCGTTGTTGCCTTCTTCTTCCTCTTCTTTTTTTGCAAGCTGCTTTTGTTTTTGTCTTGGTGCTTTATTTTTTGTTTATTTATTTTTGTTTTTGTTTTTTTTTCCCCATACCCTTATGCTGGGCTGCGCGCTTTGCTTCATTATTTATTAACGACTTTGCCAACATAATTTATTTATTTGCCAGTTTGTTGATAAACATGTGAGAGCCTAGCGTGCGCGCTCTCTTTTTGCCCAGCTAAATATTAGTGCAGCCATCTCGCTCGCTCTCCCATTTCTCCATTTCTCTGTGCATATCTGTCTGTCTGTCTGTCTGTCTGTCTGATTGTTTACGCGCAAATGACCTCATTACATATAATGTAATTTGTTGTTGTCGCCTTCTCTCCTCTCTCTCTCTCTCTCTCTCTTGCTCTCTCTGCACATTTTTTCCTGCTCCATTTTGCTTTCATTTTTATATTTGTTAATTCTCGCTTTTGGCATAATAAAGCGTTTTTGGCGCCATTGCCAGTGCTGCCGGCTTTTTCATTTGCCGTTTGTTTGTATCTCCTTCTCGTCGTCTTCCTCCGTTCCTCCGTTCCTTCTCCATCTCCATCTACATCTCCTTCGCCTTTTCCATTTTGTTTTGTTTTTGCGTCTCGTCGTGTGTTTTGTTATTGTTCATTAATTTTTTAGCATTTTGTTAATTTGTTATGGCGCAGACTGTTTTCGCTGCAGACAGCTGATAATATTATTATTATTGACTGGGCCCACAGCCGGGCACGCACGCAGCTAACGGTATTACGGAATATCCTCATTAAGGGGTTTTCATATGGGTATGTTTAAGAATATTTGATTTATCTACTCGCCTAATACGTCATATAGAAGGAATTCGCTTCAAGTGTTTCCAAAAGCTGCCAGCAAAACATTTACGAATGCAAGGTGAAAGAAACTCACGTTCATTTACGAATCTGACGAAAAATCGAATTAGAATTTTGTTATCTATATGGAACAAAAGAGTAATTGTAAAGTTTTTAATATGTCAGTTGAATAGTGGCTGTAATTTAGTTTTTTAAGGCAAAACATTTACGAATGAAACTCCAAGAATAGGCTGGAAAACCTAACAAACCGAAGGGAATAAGAATAGGAGAAGAATTCATAGAAAATCTTTCCAGTTGTGATAGATCTGAATGTGAAATCGGCAATGCAGCAACTGCAAGCCAAACGTTTACGAATGTGATGCCAAAGCAGAATCACAAACGCAATACCTGCGTGAACATAGTAGGTAGAAATGAAACACTGGCGAATGAGTTCCAATAAGAAGTTGCAAAATAAAGACAAGCATATATTTCGGGTGCTATCAGGCCAGTCGAAAGCAGTCGTAGCTGCAGTCGCTATGTTTGTAAACGGTTTTGGCTTTGTGTGTGTAAACGTTC